TTTATTATTAAAATTTACTTCTCAAAGTCTTTTGATCGTACCCATCTAAAAGATGTCATCTGAGCAGTAATTGTTAGTTATTCATTCACTGAGTTAGGATCAAATGTTAATCGTGCTGATCTCAATGTACTGAATATATAATTTCAACTGTTTTGCTGATGCTTTGGAAACTAGATTTAGAAGGATGGCAAACTGAAATACACATAATAAGTATAAACACTTGACTTCTAGTTCGATTAGTAATGATTATTTTAATATCCAACAACAAATGCTTCCTTGGTCTATTGTTGAGACAAATTTGAGCTAATTAAAATAGACTTCAATACACAATTTAAAATGACGGCAATGAAATCAATTGTCACAGATTTGGGAAACACACTAGGCTGATCAAATCTTTTAATTAAATCATGAGACTATTAATTTCAAGATTTTGTTCTTATATTCTTAAGTAAGATATACTTTCAGCGCAAATCTATATAATCTAAAAGCTAAACTAGTTTATTTCATATGAAGCCCGATCTCATTAGTACAAAACTAAAAAAACCAAATATATATCCATGCCATTTACACAGAATTCAATAATAACTTCTCCATTAATCTTAATCTACAGAAATCAATGTGTTGATTTAAAAATGCATTCATGTTACAAAAAATATATGGATTGCATAGGTGATATGTTACTGTTAATATGTGTTCATTTTGTTTGTTTAGCCCTATGAACAATAGTGACATGATTAGTTATATGAAATACATAAAATTATTTTTCTTTTTCTTGAGTATCACAGAGAGAAACATTTTTCTATCATTAACTCGGCCATACAAAACAAAAACACACACTTATATTAGAAAAAGTTTTATTTTTCTGATGTTACTAAAAAAAAAACATCTGAAGATTTCCTAATTTTGGAAATTAGAATTTCGTAATCGTGAAAAACAGGTAAAGCAGCTTGCTCAGAATTTGATAGATCTGAAAATGGGTTTATCACTTAATTTATCAACAATAGATGAAGGGATTTATCAGTTTGTAGAAAGTATTTTCAGCAGGTGTGAATAAGTTCATCTTTTACAAATTATTTTTCCTCATATAGGAAAAACAAATCTGTTGACAAGTTACTTTTGAATGCATAAGAATCATTGAAATACTATGAAATAGAAAGTATCAATTGTTTTCTACTCTAATTTCTATTCATGTAGTGTTTCATCAATAAAATAACATCATCTTTGAGAAATACATTATAGATCATCTGTTTTAGAACAGAACGCAATAGGTTTTCCAATAAAGCACTTTTTGCTGGAACTGAAAGTAGATCATTTTAAGGATATACTTATTAAAAAATGGAAATATGATTTGGAATAAAATTAAAGAACACTATAATGGACATTTTCTGGCTTGCTGTCATACATATGATTATTTTGGATAAAATAGTCTTCTAGAAATTTTTGTTAATAAACTACATTCAAATGTCTCAAAAGAAAAGTACGTCGTTTGAGTCGATTCTCTTTATGTGACTTATGATTCTGTCTGTCCGTAGATGCGACGCAAGACTTTCTATTTAGAGTAGGTTCCAATTTGCAACCAAAACAGCTGGAAGAGCGTGTTGAAAAATGGTTTTCTTTAATTTGTTTACAGTAATAAGCGCTGTTGAATATTTTAGTTGGATTTTTATTCTGTATAAATGTAATAAATATCTAGAGCTTTGTTGTTTCGAACGAAACCAAGAACTAATGAAGCCAGAGAGAAACGTTGCTTTAAAAAAGCAATAAAAAATGAACTAGAATGAAAGAAAACGAGTCGTAACCAAGAAAATTTTCTGTTTTGATTTTTTGAAACATAATCAGAGCAGATGTTGTTTAAGACAAGTGCATATAATTGTCTTTTATGAACATGAAGAATGTTCAGCAGTGGCTATTGTGATGAAAACCGTGAAATATAACGATAACAATGTACTACTTTGAGAAAACATAGCTTTTCTGGCTACTTACATATTTAAAAAGTAAACTGTGGATTGAACATGTAGTAGCGCGTCGTCTCTCACAAGAAAATAAAAATTAAACAGTAGTAAAAAACTTTTACATTTAATACAACTTACTTAAGCATTTATTTATCCAATGTAGGGTGAACTGGAGTCTAATCAGATCTCATGGGTCCGCCATCTATGTGTGCGGCGTGTGCTTGTAATGGAGTGAGTATGAGTGTGGATGCATAATACAGTACATCCATATCCACACTCAAATCCACACCATTCTTCTGTCTAAGCGAGCTGTTCCTTAGAAACGAAACATAGAAAAGGTCTAAATCATATTATGTCTTTTATTAGTGAACCTTCTAGTTTTATAATAGGAAATATTTATTTTTCATCACATAATACAGTGCCGGACGAAATTTTTCATTCAATTTTATTTTAAGCGTAACTTCATTAAGAAACTGCCTTTTGAGTCCCAGTTTTGGCCAATAGTGTCGTCATGGTCTATAGTACATCCACACAAAAATTGACCTCATAAAGTTGAGTTGTAGTTGAGTTGGAATTATAACACTCAGACTTGATGACTTTTTCGTAGACATAATTTTTCGTACGATGTTTAACCCAAACTATTTTTCTCTGAAAATGTTTACAGAAAAAAAAAATTCATATAGACAAATAGAATAAAACATGGACTACATTTTGATTAGTGAGATTTTCTTGAAAACAAATTTTCTTTTGAGTAGTACATTTCTACTCTATAGGAAACACGGCATGTGGCTAATGTAGCACTCACTGTTTTCGCACTCGCATAGCTCATTTTTTTTAAACATAGCATTCGCAAGAGCGTTGAAACCTATGTAGAAACAGCATATGGTCTTGAGAAAACATTCATACTTCTGGTATTCTATACCGTCGTCTCCACCGCCCTTGCGAATGCTGTGTTTAAAAAAAATGAGCTATACGAGTGCGAAAACAGTGAGTGTTACATTAACAACATGCTGTGTTTCCTATAGAGTAGACATTTACTACTCAAAAGAAAATTTGTTTTCAAGAAAATCTCACTAGTCAAAATGTAGTCCATGTTTTATTCTATTTGTCTATATGAGTTTGTTTTTTCTGTAAACATTTTCAGAGAAAAATAGTTTGGATTAAACATCGCACGAAAAACTTTGTCCATCGCTGTACCATACTTCTAATGAATAATTCAAAGTTTGTTCATGGAGATTTTTAAAATTTACTAACACCAACTTGGTTATTTTTGCTTTTTTTCCAAATCTAGCGATCTACCTTGGAATCTTTATATAAAAAATCAATAACAATGAGTAGTTACCACAATAACATAATACGCTCAATGTTTAGTAGCGAGGATTACATGTAAGTAACTAATAAAGAGAATCCAAGAAAGAAACAACTTGTAAGTAGATATCAAAAGAAAGGACTATGCAAACATCAAGACAATGAAAAAAGAAATGAAAACAATATATGATGACAATTCGTGCACAAGAAAAAGAGAAACATTAATGGTAAAATTAGAAAATGAAACAAATATAAACTTTAATGATCAAATTTCTCGCTTCAAATTATTCATTTATCATTTGATATTGTTTATTTCATAGGAATAAATTCTGTTTATACGATCAATTGCGTAATGCTCGAACAGTAGAAGCCTTTTGTATAACTGTTATATCGCCTATTGCAGTTCTTCGTCTCCATCGACAAATTTTCACAGTTACAGTTTTTTTCAATTCCGGTAAAAAAACTAAACAAGCAATAGGCAAAAAAAGTTGAACAAAATAAATTAAATAAAAAAAGATATTAAATTGAATATAAATAAGAAATGTTGGATAGAAAAATTGTTGAATTAAACCAGTAACCGCAATCGGTAACCAAAATATAAGAAAGAGTGATGAAATTGCAAGTAATTGTATCGTCATTTTTCTATTCTTTTTCGTTCGCTCAGCATTATATCTTACTAAGGTTGAACGACATATTACTCGAATAATTAGTAATACATTTGCTACAGCAATCGAAAATGCTGGTATGATTATATTAAATAACCAATCTGTAATACCTAGCATCTTATTTTGATAAAAACATGGTGCTGTACATAATAACTCATAATAATTCCAATTATTAACACAACTATATATAAAAATAAAATAAGCATAACATATTGGAGGATACAATATTGCTATACAAAGTGGTAGATAATGAAAAACAATACGTTTCCATCGAATTTGAAAGACAGATCGAGAAAGAATAATAATATGACGTTCAATAGATGCCCAAAGCACTAAAATTAATAAATAAGAGATGAATTTTAAATAAAAAGACATCACTTACTAATAAATAAACTAATACCATTTAATGAAAACTCATACCAATTAAAAAATAAACAATAAGCATATGTTGATGGTCGTACAATACCAGTATGTAAATAGTTTTCTACCATTGATAATTCAGTTGTTACTTGAATAAAACTTGTTATTAACAATGGAAGAATAAAATGATTTCCGATTGGTTTTATTAATTTTGATGGTCGACATATGATATTAACAAATACCAATAGAGAGCATATGACTGATAATAGTTGACAAGGTAATAAAATTGCAAGTTTTATTTGGCGATGATTGGCTACGATAGTATCAGTTATATTAATATTTTTAAGTGTATTAGTGTCAGTAATACGCGTGAATATCATTCCTTTGCTCATTGGTTTTATTTGTGATCCAAATGAAAATGGAGAGATTTATGCAGAGCAAATGGATTTTAAGAACAGATATGAATAGGTGTATTATTTTCGAATCGAACTAGTTCACTAGACTTTGCTATTATCATCAGTCAAATGTAATTAGTAGTGAGTCGTAGAGATTTGATCCTTTAGACTCTTTTGTAAAAATCTAAATGAAAGAAAAGACACGACTATCATAATCTCAAAAAAAAAGAACTCTGTCGTCAAGAAAACTACAAACGAATAAGTTCTCCTAATTGTATGGAAGAATTAGTGAACTTGCGTATAATCATTATAACCTTCTTATCTTGTTTTGAAAAAGAATTATTTTGACATGACGTTTAGCTGATTAGATCCTTTATTTATTATTAAAATTTACTTCTCAAAGTCTTTTGATCGTACCCATCTAAAAGATGTCATCTGAGCAGTAATTGTTAGTTATTCATTCACTGAGTTAGGATCAAATGTTAATCGTGCTGATCTCAATGTACTGAATATATAATTTCAACTGTTTTGCTGATGCTTTGGAAACTAGATTTAGAAGGATGGCAAACTGAAATACACATAATAAGTATAAACACTTGACTTCTAGTTCGATTAGTAATGATTATTTTAATATCCAACAACAAATGCTTCCTTGGTCTATTGTTGAGACAAATTTGAGCTAATTAAAATAGACTTCAATACACAATTTAAAATGACGGCAATGAAATCAATTGTCACAGATTTGGGAAACACACTAGGCTGATCAAATCTTTTAATTAAATCATGAGACTATTAATTTCAAGATTTTGTTCTTATATTCTTAAGTAAGATATACTTTCAGCGCAAATCTATATAATCTAAAAGCTAAACTAGTTTATTTCATATGAAGCCCGATCTCATTAGTACAAAACTAAAAAAACCAAATATATATCCATGCCATTTACACAGAATTCAATAATAACTTCTCCATTAATCTTAATCTACAGAAATCAATGTGTTGATTTAAAAATGCATTCATGTTACAAAAAATATATGGATTGCATAGGTGATATGTTACTGTTAATATGTGTTCATTTTGTTTGTTTAGCCCTATGAACAATAGTGACATGATTAGTTATATGAAATACATAAAATTATTTTTCTTTTTCTTGAGTATCACAGAGAGAAACATTTTTCTATCATTAACTCGGCCATACAAAACAAAAACACACACTTATATTAGAAAAAGTTTTATTTTTCTGATGTTACTAAAAAAAAAACATCTGAAGATTTCCTAATTTTGGAAATTAGAATTTCGTAATCGTGAAAAACAGGTAAAGCAGCTTGCTCAGAATTTGATAGATCTGAAAATGGGTTTATCACTTAATTTATCAACAATAGATGAAGGGATTTATCAGTTTGTAGAAAGTATTTTCAGCAGGTGTGAATAAGTTCATCTTTTACAAATTATTTTTCCTCATATAGGAAAAACAAATCTGTTGACAAGTTACTTTTGAATGCATAAGAATCATTGAAATACTATGAAATAGAAAGTATCAATTGTTTTCTACTCTAATTTCTATTCATGTAGTGTTTCATCAATAAAATAACATCATCTTTGAGAAATACATTATAGATCATCTGTTTTAGAACAGAACGCAATAGGTTTTCCAATAAAGCACTTTTTGCTGGAACTGAAAGTAGATCATTTTAAGGATATACTTATTAAAAAATGGAAATATGATTTGGAATAAAATTAAAGAACACTATAATGGACATTTTCTGGCTTGCTGTCATACATATGATTATTTTGGATAAAATAGTCTTCTAGAAATTTTTGTTAATAAACTACATTCAAATGTCTCAAAAGAAAAGTACGTCGTTTGAGTCGATTCTCTTTATGTGACTTATGATTCTGTCTGTCCGTAGATGCGACGCAAGACTTTCTATTTAGAGTAGGTTCCAATTTGCAACCAAAACAGCTGGAAGAGCGTGTTGAAAAATGGTTTTCTTTAATTTGTTTACAGTAATAAGCGCTGTTGAATATTTTAGTTGGATTTTTATTCTGTATAAATGTAATAAATATCTAGAGCTTTGTTGTTTCGAACGAAACCAAGAACTAATGAAGCCAGAGAGAAACGTTGCTTTAAAAAAGCAATAAAAAATGAACTAGAATGAAAGAAAACGAGTCGTAACCAAGAAAATTTTCTGTTTTGATTTTTTGAAACATAATCAGAGCAGATGTTGTTTAAGACAAGTGCATATAATTGTCTTTTATGAACATGAAGAATGTTCAGCAGTGGCTATTGTGATGAAAACCGTGAAATATAACGATAACAATGTACTACTTTGAGAAAACATAGCTTTTCTGGCTACTTACATATTTAAAAAGTAAACTGTGGATTGAACATGTAGTAGCGCGTCGTCTCTCACAAGAAAATAAAAATTAAACAGTAGTAAAAAACTTTTACATTTAATACAACTTACTTAAGCATTTATTTATCCAATGTAGGGTGAACTGGAGTCTAATCAGATCTCATGGGTCCGCCATCTATGTGTGCGGCGTGTGCTTGTAATGGAGTGAGTATGAGTGTGGATGCATAATACAGTACATCCATATCCACACTCAAATCCACACCATTCTTCTGTCTAAGCGAGCTGTTCCTTAGAAACGAAACATAGAAAAGGTCTAAATCATATTATGTCTTTTATTAGTGAACCTTCTAGTTTTATAATAGGAAATATTTATTTTTCATCACATAATACAGTGCCGGACGAAATTTTTCATTCAATTTTATTTTAAGCGTAACTTCATTAAGAAACTGCCTTTTGAGTCCCAGTTTTGGCCAATAGTGTCGTCATGGTCTATAGTACATCCACACAAAAATTGACCTCATAAAGTTGAGTTGTAGTTGAGTTGGAATTATAACACTCAGACTTGATGACTTTTTCGTAGACATAATTTTTCGTACGATGTTTAACCCAAACTATTTTTCTCTGAAAATGTTTACAGAAAAAAAAAATTCATATAGACAAATAGAATAAAACATGGACTACATTTTGATTAGTGAGATTTTCTTGAAAACAAATTTTCTTTTGAGTAGTACATTTCTACTCTATAGGAAACACGGCATGTGGCTAATGTAGCACTCACTGTTTTCGCACTCGCATAGCTCATTTTTTTTAAACATAGCATTCGCAAGAGCGTTGAAACCTATGTAGAAACAGCATATGGTCTTGAGAAAACATTCATACTTCTGGTATTCTATACCGTCGTCTCCACCGCCCTTGCGAATGCTGTGTTTAAAAAAAATGAGCTATACGAGTGCGAAAACAGTGAGTGTTACATTAACAACATGCTGTGTTTCCTATAGAGTAGACATTTACTACTCAAAAGAAAATTTGTTTTCAAGAAAATCTCACTAGTCAAAATGTAGTCCATGTTTTATTCTATTTGTCTATATGAGTTTGTTTTTTCTGTAAACATTTTCAGAGAAAAATAGTTTGGATTAAACATCGCACGAAAAACTTTGTCCATCGCTGTACCATACTTCTAATGAATAATTCAAAGTTTGTTCATGGAGATTTTTAAAATTTACTAACACCAACTTGGTTATTTTTGCTTTTTTTCCAAATCTAGCGATCTACCTTGGAATCTTTATATAAAAAATCAATAACAATGAGTAGTTACCACAATAACATAATACGCTCAATGTTTAGTAGCGAGGATTACATGTAAGTAACTAATAAAGAGAATCCAAGAAAGAAACAACTTGTAAGTAGATATCAAAAGAAAGGACTATGCAAACATCAAGACAATGAAAAAAGAAATGAAAACAATATATGATGACAATTCGTGCACAAGAAAAAGAGAAACATTAATGGTAAAATTAGAAAATGAAACAAATATAAACTTTAATGATCAAATTTCTCGCTTCAAATTATTCATTTATCATTTGATATTGTTTATTTCATAGGAATAAATTCTGTTTATACGATCAATTGCGTAATGCTCGAACAGTAGAAGCCTTTTGTATAACTGTTATATCGCCTATTGCAGTTCTTCGTCTCCATCGACAAATTTTCACAGTTACAGTTTTTTTCAATTCCGGTAAAAAAACTAAACAAGCAATAGGCAAAAAAAGTTGAACAAAATAAATTAAATAAAAAAAGATATTAAATTGAATATAAATAAGAAATGTTGGATAGAAAAATTGTTGAATTAAACCAGTAACCGCAATCGGTAACCAAAATATAAGAAAGAGTGATGAAATTGCAAGTAATTGTATCGTCATTTTTCTATTCTTTTTCGTTCGCTCAGCATTATATCTTACTAAGGTTGAACGACATATTACTCGAATAATTAGTAATACATTTGCTACAGCAATCGAAAATGCTGGTATGATTATATTAAATAACCAATCTGTAATACCTAGCATCTTATTTTGATAAAAACATGGTGCTGTACATAATAACTCATA